AAAAATTAAAATTACAATAAAAACTATATTATTGGTTTATACACCTTACATTGCCTTACATACTTGGCTATACAAGTGTTTTTACATTTTTCGTATCTCTCTTTACAAATTTCCTAATTATTAAACTTAATACTAAATTTTGCGTCTACAGAACGGCTTAAAGTTAGGAGTACTCGCATTTGCCTGGACCACCCGTCAAATAGGTTTTCTCGCCAGTGGAGAGAGAAACTGTAAAAAACCTCTCCGAGTACAACCGGTTTATCGACAGTCAAGTTCTAATGGTGTGTACCGGGCAATAATAATCGACGGTGCACATCATTACACCTCGACGTCAAACCTCCCGCTCAGATTGTCTCACGTGCCGGAAAAATACCAAGCCAAATGGGCGCGAACCAAGGGTACTTACCCTTGGTCCTAAAATGTCCGCCAAGCGAGGCACCTATCCGACTGAGCTGTCGGTCTAATAAAAACTATATTACTATAGGTACAACATCCAAACTAGAATCAAAAGTTGCGTATTACCTAATAGTATTCATAATCTAAATGGCTGATAAATCGGTTTAACAGTTTTTAAATAAAAATCAAATAGCTTTTTTGCACCTTGGCTTTTTCACCCCGTTCTACTTCACTTTTTAGGCGCGAAATTCAAATTTTGTTTGAAACGAAATTCATTTTTTTGAACGAATCTGAAGGAATGAAAATTTATTTCGAATATTTCATGCGTCTAAAATAAAATACATATATGTATATATAAGGGTTGATCCATCTATCCCTTGGGAGTGGCGTCAAAATTCACGGATATAATGGTATAGGCTATAGGTATCATCGTACTTTACTTACTTTCAATCTTGAGAGTAAGCCGCCTTCTCTCCCTTATTTCCAACTTCATATCCCTCCCCCTTCTTTCCCCACCTCAACCCCTCTTTTGCAAACGCGTAACTTTCTCGACACGACTACTTTTTTTAACGTCTCTCTCTCTCTCTCTCTCTCTCTCTCTCTCTCTCTCTCTCTCTCTCTTCTAGCTTCCGATGTGGCGCACAGCCTCTTCACTCTTAGCTTTTCCAACGAGTGCCACACATATATATATATATATACATACATAGTAAGTAACGAAACTTTTCTTGAAAGTGTGAAAAAAACGAAGGGATGGAACAACTCAAACTGACGGCATCGTAGGTAAACATTTCTTACTTGTTGGAAAAATGAGTTGGGCGCTTTTGCACCTGCGATTTTTAGAGACGCGTACTCTTCATTCTTTCCTTCTCTCTCTTTTCTTCGTCTGATTTCACAAACTTCAACGGACGACATTTATTTATGATAATAGTGTTACAAAGAACGATTCAAAAACTTTCGTTGTTGTACGAATTGTAGAAATTATATATATGTATACATAAAAGGAGAAATTTCTTTTTTTCGCCCATTTACAATAAGAGTTTTTTTTTCTTTTTATAAGAGAAAAGATTTTATATGCAATATTCTCTCCTGGCAAATGAGCACGAGAATTTAAAATAAGGATTTAGGGAGAAATTTTTCAAAAGCTTTTTAGTAGACAGGGATTTTTTTCAAGTGTTTGAGAAAAGGAATTTTGTTTCTTTTTTAAATATGAAAATTATATTCTGAAAAAATATTTCTAAAAGAAGGGACAATAATTTTTTAAAAGCAGGGACAATTTTACAAAAAAAAGTGATAAAATTTTCGGAAATGACTCAAAACTGATGCTAGCGTCGACATTAAGCGTAAAGAATATTCTTTTTACGGAAGTAAAATACTAACAATTTTTTCAAAAGATGTAAATTAGTTCCATTCTTGGCAATATTTTTCTATAATAAATTACTGGAATTTTACTGATTATTAAAAAAAAATTACTGAATTAGAATAGAAAACGCCTTCAGTTTTTGAAAATGAGTTAAATTTCTATTCTCATTTAAATTTAGAGAACACGAATTTTTATATCGAAAAACAAAGGTAGTAGCATGTAAAAAGTGCACCCTCCTGGATTGGGTCCATATTTAGGGCATAATTTTGACCAACTATGAGACTTATTTTCATAAAGTTTCAACTCGCAAAAAAATTTTGTTTTTGAGTTAAACAATTTTTTTGAAAAATTCAAAAATTTTGATTTCCTCTAAAATGGCTGAACCGATTTTCATGAAAAAATTGTTTTTGTACAATACAATATGAACAGTTGATAAAAAAAATTGTCGACCAAATTCTTACCAAAAAGTCAGTAAAAAGTCAATAAAAAGAATTTTTTTTTTTAAACATTTTTTTTGGTTGAAATTTTTTTTACACCACCGCCATTTTTTTCTATAAAATAAGTGTAATTTTAAAAGTAACATATATTTTTTGCAAGATGATTGAAAGGGTACTTCATACTTTAAAAAAACCGATTTTTGGCCCCTAAATAGTACAGTTTCCTATATAAACGAGGGGCCAACATTTTTTAAAATTAAATTAATAGTTAAATTAAATTTTTAAAATAGTTAATAATATATACCTATTTATTTATCTCAGTCAATTTACTACTGATATCGATCCAGCCATTGACACTACTTCCCAAGTAGAAATGTAATACTGGCATAGTACTGATCTTGTACTGACTGCCAGTATTGCAGTACTGACTCCAGTACTAAGTCAGTACTGGGAAAACCCTGGCTGGTAACGCTGTCCAGTACTGATTTTTACCGGCGGTCAGTATAAGCTCCTTATTTAATTATTAAAGCATGCGGGGAGTAATTAATTGAATACTAATAATTATTATTATTAGTATTAATTATTATTAATTAATTATCAGAATTCCTTTTATTAAAATAAGTTTTAAAAAAATATTTTTCTTATTTTTTCATTATTTATTTAAATCTTATTTATTTAAATTAATGACTAAATTATTATTATTACTGGTTATTAATTATTTAAACTTATACTTTATGTAACACTGTCAAGAATTATACACAAAACACTTAAAACTAAGACGGAAAAATATCGCACGCACGGGGGACCGAACCCTAGACCTCGAGGACGCAAGTCGAATACACATACCGCATAGCCACGCAAGCTCGGGAGTTATCTCGCATAAACTTCCTTTTGAATTGTGGGACCGATATATACAGTGCTTTAATAATAAATCCACTGCATATTATATTTATTTCAAGAAAAATTATTATACATATATCTTTATATACATTTTATCAAGTCATTATGTAGTAATTAATAGATACATCATAATAATATGGTAAAAATTATTAATATAATTATTTATTTATTATTTATAATCTAATTATTTATTAAAATAATAATAAAAAAAATTTATTTAAGAAAAATTTTTGTTAAATAAATAAATAAAAATATATATACAGCTTTAAAAAATAAAATTTTTTTTATTATTAATAATACGTAATAATTCTAAAAATAATTAATTAATAATAATTTATTATTATATTATTAAAATATATCTATTAGTTAATAATAAATTAATACACTGAGAAAACTGGAGTATTGGACTAAACATCTGGAGGGACAAATCGTTGATATTTGAGAGTTAGCTATTGGATAACAATCTAAATGTTCAAATACACCATTGACAGATATTCGTGCCATTTCTCTTGGAGGGAAAATGAGTTTATAACAGAGGGACAAATTAACCATCTTGAGAAATCCCTTCCTTATCCGGCGCGAAATGAATAAATATGGCAACCTAACCCCTAAATTAAATACATAAAATGTCAGAAAAATAATTTCGCGCGCATCAGATCGTACATATTTTCTGCGCAACTTTTAACCCTCAGATGTAATGGGAGAGAATATACAAGTAGATTTCCATTACCAATTCAAAATTTATTTTAGAAGGACTATTTAATTCTCTTCATAAGCAAAGGAAACATACACTTTTTGAACCTCCGAATTTGACACTCCAGTTTTCTCAGTGTAAAACGTTTGATATTATTGTTGATGAATAATGTTTTTACAAATCTTTGAAAATATTTTAATTGTTAATAAATCAAACGATGTTTAATGTTTAATTACATTATAACAAATTTTGTTTGTTTTTTAACTCCTTCGCAGTACTGATTTGGTATTATGCCAGTTTTCTGCCAGTACTGATTTTAATACTTTTTTAACTCCGACATAGTACTGATTCGGTTTTGGAGTCAGTATATTCCCAGTACTAATCGGGTTCCGAAAGTCAGTACCGACGGTCAGTACTGAGTCAGTACCATGTCGGTGTTTAACTCCGTCCTAACTCCGGACATTTCTACTTGGGTTGAGGCAGCCAAGCCAAAACTGCCTGGCGGTCAAATTGTGCTAACTTGGGTATCAGAGGTTATGTTAACGCCTGTGTCTGTCAAGTAGTTTAAACCGGGGTCTCCAGTTGGTATAACCTACAATTTTTCTCCGTGTGGACCGATATTAGACCGGTGAGAAATTTCTCACTGAGTTAACGCTTTTTTAGATTTAGAGAGTAGTATTTACAATTTGTAAATAAATATTTCTGTAATATATATATATATATATATATATATATATATATATATTTACACTATTGTTTTTTATACAAAAATCTTGTAAATATAGTATAAAGTCAAATAATCTGACTGACAACCTTCTCGTGGTGTACCTTGGGCAAACGGGAATAGTTTGACGAATGTCAGCAGTGACAGCTTTACTTTTTTGAAAATTTTTTCGAAAAGTTGACTAAAAAATCAATAAATGTTGGCCCCTCGTTTATATAGGAAACTGTACTATTTAGGGACCAAAAATCGGGGTTTTTTTAAGTATGAAGTACCCTTTCAACTGTTCATATTGTATTATACAAACAAATTTTTTTCATGAAAATTGGTTCAACCATTTTGGAGGAAATCAAAATTTTTGAATTTTTCAAAAAAAAAATCGTTTAACTCAAAAACAAAATTTTTTTCGAGTTGAAACTTGGTGAAAATAAGTCTCATAATAGGTCAAAAGTATTTCCTAAATATTTTTTATTTATTTTATTTTATTTTATTACACTTGTTTTTTCACCTGTCGTGAATACAAGGGAGTAACGCATAATTAGTGAAAGATCCGCAAATACACAAAATCACACACTACCCAGCCACGTCCTCGCACCTCATTTTAGCCTCAAAAACTTTAACAAGGGTGTTAACTAAGATCTTTAACTTTCCTCTGTTCTCAGAATACAAAACCTTCAAAAATTGCTCTTCTGTAGAAAGATCGTTTCCGATCTGATAGCTAATACCAGCAAATAAATGCCTGCATGCCGGGCAATAAAATATTAAATGATATAGGGATTCATAGTCGGTTCTACATAATTTACATAAAGAGTCCGAGTGAAAAGTAATTATTTTTCGGTTAAAAGTAATTCTACATACATGTTGATTGATTAGTCTGATCTGTGATAAAATTCTTTTATAAAAAATAAGCATGCGAAGTAGTAAATAGGATTGCGCGACAGCTTTATGGGGCAAGCTCGAGAGTATTAACAGACTTCTTGAGTGATTCAGTCGATCTTCGTCTCTATTTCTAAGGAAAAGCTCAAATTTATCGAGGATGGCCCTCTCATTTAAGGAAGATGTTTCTGAATTAATGCCATTCCAGTACTCCAGCAACCCACAAGGTTCAAAAAAGGAAAACTTTAGTTGGTTAAACCAATTAAGTTTGTTTTTCGGATTTTTTCTAGCCAACTTAATTAATTTCAAAAAGCACAGCTTGGGGTACCGTGTATCATTCATATTAAAAATTTTATTAATCCAAGCAAGTGCTTGTTTGAAAACAATGTAGGCCAGATGCTTAGATCCTGTTTCTAGTCTAATTGCGAAACTGGACGTACAAGAAGGCAAATAAAGCCACCCCTTGATAAAAGAGAGCTGTACCTTTTCAATCATCTCCAAAAAGTTTAGTCCCCAGACCAGGCAGCCGTAAGCTAAAATACTGACCACAAGACTACGGAACAACTTAGAGCAAACCTCCCAAGAATCGATTTTGGCAACTGATAGTGTCTTGCGAAGGGCCCCAACTGCGGAATTGGCCGCGCTAGTGGCTTTATTAGCAGCTGAAGCAAAAGAGCAAGATCTGTGAAAAGTAACCCCCAAGTAAACATATTCACTAGTTACTTCTATGCTACTGTTTCCATATTTAAAGGCTTTGAATTTATGCGCGGAAGAATTGGGCGAATTTGTAAAAATAACTATTTTAGTCTTGCTGGTATTAACACACAGACCATTCGATTCACAATATGTTTTTAATACTTTTAGCTTTTTCGCGAGTTCTACCGGAGAGTCAGACAGAAGCACATAATCATCCGCGTAACCGAGTATTAGAATCTCTGTGAATTCATTAATCGAAAGACCTTTGCAACCGTGCATGACAAAAAATTTCTCCATATCGCTTATAAATAAAAGAAATAACATAGGGCTTAAAACCTCCCCTTGGAGTACACCTTGAGTTACCTTTACACTATCAGTAAAATCGTGTTTAGTTTTAATACATGTGTATGCTTGAGAATAAAAGTTAATCATTATATTGATGAATTTTGAACTAAGTCCCAGCGCAGACAATTTATTCCATAATAATTTGTGTGAAATTGATGGGAAAGCCCCTTTAAAATCGATAAATACCGCGTAAACCACCGATTTCGGAGTGTTCAGGTGAATTCTTATAATGGCATATAGGCTAAATATATTATCTATACAGCCCCTGCCCTCTCTAAAACCAGCCTGAGACTCCGGAATCAGATCGTGTTCAACAGACCAGTCTCTAAGTCTATTGCCCAAAATTTGAGTGAAAATCTTAGCTAAACAATTTATCAGAGTAATAGGGCGATAATTATCAGGGTCCTTAGGATCACCCTTTTTAAAAAACATTATTGTACTTAATCTGCCCCACTCCTTAGGGACTACTTCTGTATTTAATATTTTATTAAAGAATTGAACTAAATACAATATCCAATTTTGAGGTAAGTTTTTAAAAAAATCGTAGTTAATGCCGTCAATCCCAGGGGCTTTCCCATTTTTACATTTCGTGAGGCAGTTAATTAATTCATTTTCAGTAATAGGGTCATCCAATAAGGGATTAGTATTAACGAGAAATGAAGCTCCAAGGAAGGAGGCAGAAATCGGGTGACATTTCTTAAGATAAAGTAACCAGGCTTGGTCATCGATACAAGATTGAGAGAATTCTCTGCGGCGATAGGTACCGATGGCTTTCCAAAATTGTGAAGGATTTTTACATTTGTTCACTGTTTCAATTTTAGCGAGATAATAATTCCTCTCCTTTTCCTTGATAAATAGCTTGTAATTTTTCTTTTCTGAAAGGTATATTGGTTTAAAAAGAGGGGAGAAACTACTGTCTTTATAAAGTTTTAGGGTCTGTGTAACTTTCTTTTTAACCTCTTTACAATCCTTATCCCACCATGGTTTGCGAGAAAAACTCTTAACAGAATGAGAATATCTACACATACCGGCAGACGTGGCTACATCCTTAATCACTCCAATAATATTATCATTCAATTCATCCATCTCATCAAAAATATTCCCGACTTCCCTCCTCCAGGACATACAAGAAGAAAAAAAGTCCGAATGATGCGAGTCGAAAAGAAATTTCACAGAATCATTAATTTCATCCTTATGTTTAATAGAGATCAGACTCAAGAAAACCGGGAAATGATCAGAGGAGGTAGCGATCTGTTTAACTTGTAGGTCCTGGATAAAAGGAAGGGTCTCAGATGAGCACCAGACCAGATCGTTAACACTCTCACCCTGCGAAGACACAAAAGTAAAATTAGCAGGGGAATCACTACGTGTTCGACCATTTAATAATATAAAGTCATAGGACTCGAAGTTACTAGTAATAATCTTACCCCTAGAATTAACTACTTTATCTAAAGAAAGTCTTTCCGCGGATACACAAGATACAAAATTGAGGATATCTGGACTTAGTTGATTCAAGTCTGCAATTCTGCCATTAAAGTCTCCCCCCATTATAATTGGTATATTTTTAAAATTTTCAGTTAAATAAGTAAAATTTAAATTAAGACTATCTAAAACAGAGTCAAGATCTTCTGTAGGAGCCATATACACGACACCCAATATAAATTCGCTGAGACCAGAAACATGATCAACCTTGGCAAAAATATAGTTGTAAGAAGTAGTTAGAACAGTCACATTATATATATCGGAATTAAATACAATTACTAATCCGCCTCCAGCTCTGCCCCTGCTGCGACATCTTTTAGCCGGTGCAACAACATAGCCAAAATTAGAACCAATGAAACGTTGTAAATTATCTGATTCCGCCCAAGTTTCGCACAAGCAAATTATATCTTGGGAGCTGATGAATTCGCTGATATCCGGTAAATTCTTAATCCCGTGAACGTTCCAGAAGATGATATCGCAGCAAAAATGAGCAGACGTGTCGGAAGAGCTGATAATAGAATGCTTACTTGTTGTATGCTGGACAGGATAACTTTGCTATTTCAGATTATCAAAATCTAACTTTTTGGCATTAGATTGAACTTCAGCAGTATCATGGGAAATGTTGGTTGGCCCCACATTAACAAAGTTGTCTAAGGATTCCCTGCAGAGGGATTTTTGTAAGAATTTGGTCGACAATTATTTTTCATCCAGGAGGGGGCACTTTTTACATGCTTATACTGCTACGGCCTTTCTCTCTTAAAAAATAAAGAAATAAATGAAAAAAATTGAATTACTGTAATGTTTTAAGGAGACTTTAGATCGTTGTAACAACTTTGATAATTTACACGATAGAAACCTTTTGTTTGAAAATAATTAAATATAATTTCCGAGAGAAACAACTGCTGTGAAAAATTCCACACTTTTCTTCTTACATTGCCAAATGAAAAAAAAGATGAAATAAAAAAAGGGAATAAACAACTGAGACTAACTCTATAAAAGAGAAAATATATTACTTATAAAAGTTACTTAAAACGACACATTTGGTAAAAAAAAAGAAAAAGCATAAGCTCGACTGTCGAATGCACCGGTCACGTCCACCAAAAAGATTCATAGCCGTTATTATTCACAAACGATTTGCCGCCGGAATAATGAATACTACTGCGTAATTTATGCAAGTGCGAGAGTGCATACGCCAGTTTAACTAACTGTCAATATCTCTGTCTCAAAAATTGCTCACACTTTTTATGTAATCCAAAAATCCTTTTTTTTGTTACTTTAATAATAATTTAACAAATTTGTCTAATATGTGATTTGTCTATTTACCATTTTACGCTCTTTTCAACTAGTTGGGACGAATACATAAAATTTGAAAAATCCTCTTAGGATTTGTCTTCTTTTTCTTCTGTTCTCTGACCAAGTGACCAAAGACCTTATCCCATCCGACAGAGGTCCTTCTTTTGTCTTTATCACAGAGTCTGTTCAAATTAGTGTCGACGAATTCTGTATTTAAAAGAAATTCTACAAGTTAATATACTCAGAATAATGAGGATCATGATGTAAAACTTTTGAGTCTAAATACGGTTTCGATTTACACACTGCCATCTTTTTAAGGCGTACTTGCGTTTGCGAAGGCAAAAAATAGGCCCCACTTTAATATTTTTTTTCACAGTCATTTTATTTAAAATATTAAAAACGATTTTTGCACCTTAAAGTACATTATAAAAACAAAAAAAAGAATTTTTTTTCGATTTTTAACCGTTATTTACGATTTGTAGAGGGCCCCAAACATTGCGATCTCAAATTTGTAAGAGTTTGCGGTGCCCCGCATAGAGCCTCTCCTGACTGTCTAAAATCAAAAAAACAAAATTTATTCTTTAGTATACATTAATACCTAGTGGACTAACCTGATGAAATTAAAAAAAAGTAAAAAAAACGAAAATGCGGTACTTTTAAAGTCAATTTTTAAGAAATGATGATTTTGATCTTTTGATTTTTTGACTTTAAAAGTACCGCATTTTCGTTTCTTTTACTTTTTTTTAATTTCATCAGGTTAGTCCACTAGGTATTAATGTATACTAAAAAATAAATTTTGGTTGGTTTGGTTTTAGACAGTCAGGAGAGGCTCTATGCGGGGCACCGCAAACTCTTACAAATTTGAGATCGACAATTTTTGGGGCACTCTACGAATCGTAAATAACGGTTAAAAAACGAAACAATTTTTTCTTTTTTTAGTTTTTATAATGTACTTTAAGGTGCAAAAATCGTTTTTAATATTTTAAATAAAATGACTGTGAAAAAAAAATATTTATGTGGGGCCCATTTTTTGCCTTCGCAAACGCAAGTACGCCTTAATCACTAAATATTGAATGTTTTTGACAAAATTTAACTAGCAGGGTTCTGTGTTTTTAAAAATTATTTTAAGAAAAGAAGACGTCAAAATTCAAAACCAGGTCTTTATCACTTGATTGTATTGAAAGCATTAAACTTTTTTTTATATTTATGATTAAGATTATTTTATTTTTATTCTTATTTTGACGTAAAATATATTTTAATAATAAATAAAATAAATAAGATCCTAAAATTACACTTGTTATATAACTTATAAGAGGAAATATGTTTAGAAATATATACTTTGTGAGCTAGAATAACAAAATTTTTCATGACAGACTGATCGTATGAATAAATAATGATACAAAGAGTTGTTTTTTGGAATAAGAAAGTTTCTGGACACAACAACTAAGTCGACCAACACTGAAAAAAAATATTCTTAATTTAAGAATATATAGGGGAGAGTCTCCAGTTGTGAGACACCTCCAGTTGTGAGACAGTCAATTTTTTTTAACATGCAATATTAAAAAGCCGATTGGTTTATATAAAAACATTTCTTTTTATATGAGCCAACTATTTCGTGTACACCGAGGCGGATATATAAACTGTTTTTGTTAAATACCAACACTGTGTGTGATAATCGACTAAAAAGCGTTTTTTCAATAAATGCAAAGTACTTTTTTTGCAATTTAATTAATTGAAAAAGGTAAATGTAATGCATTTTCTTTTAGTGTTTTCCTTATATTTTGTGATGCAACATTCCATTGTTCCAATCTACGGTTGAAAATAATTTAATTTTCCTTTTTCAAAATAGCGCCAATTTCTGGGTGTGAGACACAGCATATCACCAGTTGTGAGACGGTGTCAACACCCATCTGGGCAGCATAAAAAATACTACTTTGCAGGCATACTATTTAAATGTTGTTTTGATTCTTTTTTCTAGTATTTTTGGGCATGTCAAGTGGAAAAAAGTCAATTGATTCAGAAGAAATCAATTTTAATGCTCTTGTTGAAGCTATTAAATTGTGTTTATTTGATAGTCATATTTTGGCGAATAAATATTATTATTTAGTATATAATAATATATATTATTAATATATTTAATTATTTCTACTAAACATAACGTTTTATGTCAAACTTATTAAATTTTAGCAATTTTTAATGAGTGTCTCACAACTGGAGACATTTTTTTTTTTTTGAAAAAAGCGATGTGCTCGGAAAATGTATCGTAAAATTTTTTGAGTTCATCGAAACACTATACTTTCTTTTAATAAAAGTTGTGTATTTCTGTTACCTTTCGAACGGTATATTTTATTTACAATTTCGTTTGCCCGTTTACAATTAACGGGTCAAAAATGAAACCCGTCTCACAACTGGAGACTCTCCCCTATATATATATATATATATATATATATATATCAGTTGAATCATTTTGATACATATTTATAATATTAATATATATATATACACTACCGTCGGGAATTATCGGTACGGCTGCACGCGCACGGCCCAAAAACATACCAATTTTTAAATCACGATTTTTTTGTAAATACAAATGTCAGAAAATTAACAAATATACCATTCGAAAGATTATTAAATTCTACGATTACACGGAGAAAAATTATTTTTAATGATTACAATAGTCTACATTACAGCGCGGATATGTGACCACTTTTTGGAATGATTACGAAGACTACGTAATGTGTTAAGAATTTAGTAGGAACGATTACTATAGCTGTTGTAAGGGATACCTTCATGTTTGTACTCCTTACAACAGCTATAGTAATCATAACAAAAAGTTGTCACATATCCTAGCAGTAATATAGACTATTGTAATCAGTACGAATAAATTTTTCTCCGTGTAATGGTACATAACTGAAAATTTTAATAATTTATACAAAGATTGCAGCAATCGACAAATTTGACAAAAAAATTTTAAAAATACAATTTTTTTGGAAATTTTTTCAACCCCTGTACATTTTTTAAAAATTGTAGAAATTAGTAGAAATTAGTCGATTTTGAACGGTTTTTGGCTGAAAATGCTCGTCCGTTTATAATGATATCTCGCTAACCGATTAAGATTTTTGAATTCTTTTGATCTTAAATTAAAGATGAGACTTGAATGATCACACCTATATAAGTTTCAAATTTTTTCTGCAATTTTCAAAAAATGTGCAGGGGTTGAAAAAATTTTCAAAAAAATTGTATTTTTAAAATTTTTTTGTCAAATTTGTCAATTGCTGCAATATTTGTATATCAGTTATATACCATTAATCGTAGAATTTAATAATCTTTCGAATGGTATATTTGTTAATTTTCTGACATTTGTATTTACAAAAAAATCGTGATTTAAAGATTGGTATGTTTTTGGGCCGTGCGTTTGCAGCCGTACCGATAATTCCCGGCGGTAGTGTGTATATAACTGTTCCCTACAGACTGGGTTCTTTCCTGATATTTATAAGATAAGCAATATGTCAGACCTGTTCCCAAGATAACTGATCCAAAGAAACCATCCGATCTTAGACCGATTTCAATAATTTGTGCTCTGTATAAACTATTAGAACGCCTCGTCTGTAAACAAATAACATTATATTTCAATAAAAATAAATTATTTGAACCACTCCAATTTGGTTTCCGTCAAATGCATAGTACATGTACGGCTGCTTTAAAGTTTACATCTGATATCAAACTTGCTATGGATGCTAAATACATTACTGTATTTTCAAAAGTCCTTATATGAAATCAGCAGATATGCAAATTAGGTAAAGAGAGACATTCTTATTGACATTGCCTTTAGAGAAAGAAAGAAAGGTAGCCGTTACCAGAGAAAGCGTTATCGGCGCCGTTATCCAGACGTTATCGAGACCGTTACCTTTGGAGTTTCTATTACTATATATATTATATATATATATACATATAATAGACTTTTCTCTATATTTCCCTTGCGATGAAGGAAGAAAGAAAATATTACCTGGGTTCTCCGAGGTAATCCCCATTACAAAGGCTATTGTTTAAGGGTTCGTAATCCTTCTTAGGGTCGAATACAGGCCTATATATATATATATATATATATATATATATATATATATATATATATATATATATATGAGTGCGAAGAGGACACTCACGTTTAGGGCCTACCACCTAAATATAAGAACGAAAATTTAATTTAAAAATCATATCGTCGATTATTTTCCTTGGAGCACGTTCTACGTGTCTTCAACGAAATTGAAGTATAACAATTTTTTTGGGAATTCACTCACTATAGGTGAGTGAATAAAAAAGTTAAATAAGTGAATTATCAGTGAATACTTCGTGAATTAGTAAATAGTGATTTAGTGAATAGTAAGTATTAGTGAATATAATTAAATAAGTGAATATTAAATAATAATAGAAATACATTAAAATACTTTTTTCTAATTTTTTTCAATCATTTAAATAATTATGTATTTGAGTTGTGTTTAGTTTTCGAAGTTAATTAATAAAGTTAAAAAATTTTTTTTTATGTTTATTAATAAATTAAAAAATTTGTTATAATTTGGAAATCGTATGTAATTGGAATCCAAAGGCAAAATTAGAAGTTGGTTATATTGGATAAAAGGCAAAATTGGTTAAATTGGTTATATTAAATAAAAGGCAAAATTGGTTACATTGGTTTTATTGGATAAAAGGCAAAATTGGTTATATTGGTTTTATTGGATAAAAGACAAAATTGGTTATATTGGATAAAAGGCAAAATTGGTTATATTGGATAAATATTGGTTATATTGGATAAAAGGCAAAATTGGTTATATTGGATAAAAAGCTGGAAATTGGTTAAATTGGTTTTATTGGATAAAAGGCAAAATTGGTTATATTGGTTTTATTGGATAAAAGACAAAATTGGTTATATTGGATAAAAGGCAAAATTGGTTACATTGGTTTTATTGGATAAAAGGCAAAATTGGTTATATTGGTTTTATTGGATAAAAGACAAAATTGGTTATATTGGATAAAAGGCAAAATTGGTTATATTGGATAAAAGGCAAAATTGGTTATATTGGATAAAAAGCTGGAAATTGGTTAAATTGGTTTTATTGGATAAAAGGCAAAATTGGTTATATTGGATAAAAAGCTGGAAATTGGATGAATTGTATAACAGGAATATTAGATAAAATAAAAAATTAGAAATTGGTTATATTGGATAAAAGCTGGAAATTGGTTATATTGGATAAAAGGCAAAATTGGTTATATTGGATAAAAAGCAAAATTGGAAATGAATTATATTGGATAAAAAGAATGCTGGAAATTGGTTAAATTGGATTAAAGGAAAAATAGTAAATTGGTTATATTGGATAAAAGGCAAAATTGGTTATATTGGATAAAAAGCAAAATTGGAAATTAATTATATTGGATAAAAAGAAAGCTAGAAATTGGTTAAATTGGATTAAAGGAAAAATAGTAAATTGGTTATATATTGGATAAGAGACAAAATTGGAAATTTGTTTGTATTTTCTATAGGAGGCAAAATTTGGTAATATCATTGAATAAAAGGAAATTATAATATTTATAATTAAATGTATAAAACTTGATCTTAAAATTCTACTGTAATATTGCTATTTTTAAATTTTTAATTCCTTGATATAAGTAAATTTTATAAAATAAAAGAACAATGTCTAACAAAGGAGAAACTGTTAATTTGACTACTGATGATTTAAGTATTGTTGTCACTGAAGGAGCAATGCTAAATAATGATCATATGTATGAATTTCAAAAGCTATTGGGAAGACAATCAAATTTTTTTTATAATATGCAAAATACTTTGTGTTTACAAACACTTGATTTGATAGTTCCAATCGAGAAAAATAAGCAGCACATTCAAATACTTTTTAGTGGATATTATAAGTCTGGTCATTGGATTTGTACTTATTATGATGGAAAAAGCCTTTACATTTTTGATAGTCTTAATAAAAAATATTTAAATGACGATCAAAGGGCTTACTTAATTAGATTATATCCTTTTGAACCACCAGTAGTTTTCACAACTGTTGATCAACAACCATTAAACAGTCTTGCTTGTGGAATATATGCAATAGCATTCGCAACATCGTTATTTTTTAATATTATGCCTGATTCTGTCAATTACTATTATTGTAATATGAGAAATCATTTAATGTTAATGTTCAAAAACAATAGTTTAAGTGAATTTCCCTCTGAACAACTTTCTAATAGTAGATCTTGCATAGTTGTGAATGACTGGAATTGCCTTTTAAATGAAAAAGATATTCAACTTAAGTATGGAGAATCAAACTTTTCTAAAAACTCTATGAAGAAAGAAATTTCTTTCCCGAGAATAATAAATAAAATAAATAAAGGGAGTATTGCATCAACAACAGTTAAACAAAGTAGGGCTGAAATTCAAAGAAATTATCGGGAAAGGCAAAAATTGAAGCGTAAAGTTGATAATCCAAATTATTCAGAGGAAGCAAACACTTCCCTTTCTTTTCCGAGAGCAATAAATAAAATAAATGAAGGAAATGTTGAATCATCAACAACACTTAAACAGAGTAAGGCTGAAATTCAAAGAAATTATCGCGAAAGGCAAAAGTTGAAGCGTAAAGTTGATAATCCAAATTATTCAGAGGAAGCAAACACTTCCCTTTCTTTTCCGAGAGCAATAAATAAAATAAATGAAGGAAATGTTGAATCATCAACAACACCTAAACAGAGTAAGGCTGAAATTCAAAGAAATTATCGCGAAAGGCAAAAATTGAAGCGTAAAGTTGATAATCCAAATTATTCAGAGGAAGCAAACACTTCCCTTTCTTTTCCGAGAGCAATAAATAAAATAAATGAAGGAAATGTTGAATCATCAACAACACTTAAACAGAGTAAGGCTGAAATTCAAAGAAATTATCGCGAAAGGCAAAAGTTGAAGCGTAAAGTTGATAATCCAAATTATTCAGAGGAAGCAAACACTTCCCTTTCTTTTCCGAGAGCAATAAATAAAATAAATGAAGGAAATGTTGAATCATCAACAACACCTAAACAAAGTAAGGCTGAAATTCAAAGAAATTATCGCGAAAGGCAAAAACTGAAATGTAAAAGTGATAATGTAAATTATTCAGGTGAAGTGCACACTTCAACTAAGAAAAAACTTCAAGTTGAATCTAAAATAGAATATGCTCAAAACCTTAAATTAAAAAATATAAACAGTGATAGAAGTACTTTGTCAAAAACAAAAAATACTCTATGTCCAAGAAATTATTGTGAAAGAGTATTAAATCATCAAATTCAAAATGAGTTGAAACTGGTAAATAATAGTATAAATTCAAATTTGAATATTTCTGTTCCAAAGAAAATATTAAATATAGATTTAGATGATAATGAAACATTTAAGTCAAATAATGTTGAAAATTATCTAGGTCCAATGAATTATTATTGCACACATTGTCAAGCTAAACATTTTAAAGATGAACAAGTTGCTGGTAGAAAAGTTAGTTTTAATGATTGTTGTAGTCATGGAGGTGTTGTTTTAACTTCCATACAATATCCAGATGAATTAAAGCTTTTGCTAAAAGGGCTTCATGAAAAATCTGGTCATTTTAAAAAGAATATAAGGCTGTACAATAATTCTTTTTCTTTTGCATCTTTAAATGCTAATGTAATTAATTTTAATAACAGAAGAAGAGGGCCATTTTGTTATAAAATTCAAGGTCAAATTTACTATCAAATTAATAGTGCTTTATATCCGGATAAAGGTGAGGATCCATGTTTTGGTCAATTATTTATTTATGACCCTGACGAATCAATCAGATACAGATTAAAAAGTAACGAAAATTTGGACAAAGAACTTTTACAAAATATAGAAAATATTATGAGAACTTCAAACGCATACACAAAATCTTACATGATGATGTCAGAAGTAATTAAAATAGAAACTGAATTAGCAAGACAAAATAATGAAGATGTTCCAGAGTTACAACTATTGTTCACGTTGAAAAAAGGTTTTGATAAAAAAAGATATAATTATCAAAGTTACAATGAAGTTGCTGCTATTTTCAATACAAACTCAGAAGGAGAAATACCAGAATCTTATGTAACAGTTTATAATAAGTCTACAAAGGAACTGAAATCAGTTAGTAATTTAGATCCGAATGTTGAACCATGGATCTATCCCATATTTTATCCACTTGGAAATAAAGGTTATAATATTAATATGCTTCGTAGTGATAGTGATTTTAGAAGTAAAAAACATAATATTTCTAGGTCTGCCTATTGTAAATACAAAATTGCTATAAGAGATAAGGAATTTAATCAATTTTTATATGGGGGAAGATTGTTTCAACAATGGGTAGTTGACAATTATGTAAAAATAGAGAAAGATAGATTGCAATTTTGTGCAAACAATCAAGCTCAATTGAGAAGTGAAACATATCAAGGATTAATCGATTATTTACAAAATAATGAGTTAGAAAATGATGTACATGTTGGAAAAATGCTTATATTGCCTTCCACTTTTATAGGATCACCTCGTAATATGATGCAACAATATCAGGATGCCATGGCTATTGTTGGTCGTCATTGTAGACCAGATTTATTTATTACAATGACGTGTAATCCAAATTGGAAAGAGATACAAGAAAATTTATTACCTCATCAAACTGCTTCTGATAGACCTGATATAGTAACTAGAGTTTTTGCATTGAAGGTGAAACAACTTTTAAATGTTATTGTTGACAACAAATTATTTGGAGAGGTTAAGTCTTATGTTTATGTTATTGAATTTCAAAAGCGAGGATTACCACATATTCATTTGTTAGTTATATTTGATACCGGTCACATGTATGTGAAAATTCCGCGAAAGAAAAACACCACTGCACAAGTTGAGAACCCTTCTTTTTGAAGGTCTCAACTTCGTGAAAATGTGGTATCTTCCCTTGGGTTGACTTTTTCGACATCGACATGTAGAAAAAATTAGTCTAGCTGGGCCTTACTCGTCGATTTCCCTGACCGCGCGCCTTTCTCTGTCTTTTCTATCTCTGTCTCTCTCTACTCTCCGTTTCCGCTTTTCCTCTTTCGCATTCCTCCCCAGCAAAGATTCAAAGGGCCCAGCAGCCACTATATCTATATATATATATATATATGCTTCGAGTTAAAATTCGTTTCAACAATTTTGAAATTAACAGGATATATTGTAATAATGATTTATTAATCATTTATACTTATACTTATATTGTTTTACTATGAATTAGTTTAACAATATTTGACTGATTAAGTATAAATATTATTATTCCTATTATTATAATTATTATTATATGAGTGTTGGTATTATTAATACTGTTAATATTATCAACATTGTTATGTTTTATTGAATTGTTGTTCACTTTTATTAACAAGTTAATGTTAATTATTTTTTGGCTTTGAGAAATAATTCTTTTAATGTTTAAAAATAATAATTTTATTAGTAATACGTTTATATTATCTTGAGTAATAATTTCGATTATTGTTTAATTGTTTAATTAATAAATAAATTAGTATTAATTAAATAATTAATAAATCAATATTAAATTAAATAAAGAGATAAATATATTCCTTTATTTATAATATAATTATACAACGTTATGCAAATTATATGCATTATTATGTCTCAATTAGGGTAAAATGAATGTAAAATTAGATTTTTAAGTTTAATTAAGTTTATTTTATATTTTAATATTAAGTTAGTTATATGTAAGCTGACTAGCAAGTTCGTCTCTTGTTATCCCTCTTACATGTATAAAAAATCTTCCCCTTCCGAGAGGCAGATTTTTTATGCATAGAGTTATTGGGTATAAAAGGCGACGAAAATGCCCAGTCAGAGAGTCACTTCGCCGCCAACCCTTGTAACGGAACTACTTCCGTAGTCTCCTCCTAAATAAAACTTTAAATAAAATTTTAAAGACCAACTTAAACTGTTGTCCCTTTTTCTTTTACCTACACTACTACACCAGCTCTTGCACTATTACCGTACACACTGGCTATACGGGATTTATTTCCTGATTTTGCGCGTGAGTCGGTACTATAGTACTCATTTCACCCCGTACGAGAGTTACGCACAATCATACGTCACTGAGAGTTGCCACTTTTGACAGTGCTTTGCGGGAATTTTTTTCCTGTTCTGAGCTCTGTGCAGGAGGCAAACTTTCGACGAAACCCTTACACCCACAAGCTATTTAACCCCAATTTACTACCACACTGATTATAGCACTACGGGAAGAAATTCCTTGCTCTGCTTAATGCGTGAGGTGGTCGAACGGGACGATGGCTTTTGGGGTTAATGGGTCTGACGTCACTGAGAAAAACTACCACCTTTGACAGAACTTTGCGGGAATTTTTCCTGTTCTGAGCTCTGTGCAGGAGGCAATTTCTCAAGACGACAGCAGTATGACTATTGTGTAACTCTCTTCCTTCCCACTACAGTACACAACTTTATTTGTAAACTTTTCCTGAATTTTATGATTAATAACAATTAATTATTAACTTTCAGACTTTGCTTAATTTTGAACTACTCTAATAAGTGAACCATTAACCAACATCCATTTACAGATTTATTAATTAATTCTGTGTAAATGCACATTTCCAACCCCAGAAATGTGAACAAACCATTCTAACCTTCAAGTTTGTTTACGTTTGTGTGTCTAAATTCCACATCGACTTGACGCATTTGTTTTGACAGAAAAGCTAACCTCTAAATTCGGCCTCCTTCTGAGTCTTTAAATCTCGAAGTGCCCAGTCGATTATCGATTATCGAACTTCGAGAGATCGATTCTCGATTATCGAACATCGAGAGATCGATATATCGCTGACGTCACTGTTTAACGCCGGCTACGGAGAAGCTGCCTTCCCCTAAGGCCCAGCTACTCTGACGTCACTGCCAAGGTGCTACGAAAATAGCAATCCGCTCTTTGCCCGGTCCCTTCCCTTCACACGGTGACCGGTAACATATTAAAAGAAAATTCTAAAATATTAACAGTTGAAAGTGTTGATCGTTATATTTCTGCAGAAATTCCTGATGAAAATATCAATCCTTCCTTGCATAACATAATAATGCAAAATAACATTCACGGACCTTGTGGAGATTGGTGTTTAATTGATGGTAAATGTTCAAAAAATTTTCCAAAAAGTTACCAAGAAGAAACTACAATTGAAGAAAACTGTTATGTTCGTTGTCGTCGAAGAAATAATAATAAAACGTATGAGCGACCAAATGGATTTGTTGTTGACAATTCTAATGTGGTTCCATATTGCCCTACACTTTCGGAAATATTTAATTGCCATATAAATGTGGAAATAGTTTCAAGTATTAAATCTGTTAAATATCTATATAAATATATTTTCAAGGGTCATGATGCTGCATCCATTATTATTACAAATGCGAATGGTGAGGTAACTGTTAATCACAATGAAATTAATCATTATGAAGAAAATAGGTATGTAGGTCCTGTTGAGGCTGTTTGGAGAATTTTAAGTAAACCTTTAGGGAAAAAGAGCCATAGTATAAATCGTTAACCCATACATTTACCAAATGAACAGAATGTTATTATTCGCGAAAGGAAAGATAATAACAATGTTTCTTTTGATTTACAGAAAAATACAAAATTGCTCGATTTTTTTAAACTTAATGAGCGTGATAGTACTGCTCGTCAGTATTATTATACACAAATACCAGAACATTATACGTGGATAAAAAAACTCTTGAATGGCAAAAAAGGAGTCGTAAAGAAAAAGTATTGGGAAGAATGTATTCAGTTAATCCACGCCAATTGGAATTATTTCACCTTAGATTATTGTTACTTACAGTAAAAGGAGTAACTTCTTTCCAAAGTTTAAGAACAGTTAATGGAGTTATTCATGAATCTTTTACATCTGCTTGTTTGGCATTAGGACTTATAGAAGATGATAGTGAGTGGATTAGGACAATGGAAGAAGCTACTTTATGGATGATGCCTCATTCACTTCGACAATTATTTGTAAGAATTCTAATTCATTGTCATCCTGTACATCCGGAAAAACTTTGGGAGAAATTTAAAGGTCAAATGTCAGAAGACTATTCAAAAATTGACAATATTGAAGCTGAAAAAATAGCTTATAGAAATATAAAATCAATGTTATTGAATGAAGGATATTGTTTAACCGATTTTCAGGGTTTATTAGATATAGATGAAAATTTTCCTGCGCAGGTTGATGATATAAATATTTTTGAACATATAAAAATAGGAGAGCAGAATTATACTAAATTAAATGTTAAACAAAAAAATATAGTTGATTATATACTTGAAGTAATAAAAGATTCTTCTTCTAATAGTTCTAAATGCTTATATATTAATGGTTGTGGAGGATCTGGAAAAACTTTTTTATATACTACCTTATGGCATTTATTAAAAAGTAAAGGAATAAATGTTTGCAACATGGCATTTACAGGCATAGCTGCCTCACTGCTTCCTAATGGGAAAACTGTACATAAAGTCTTAGGCTTACCTGTTCCATTGTACAATGATTCATCTTCAAATATTAAAGTTCAGTCAAAAGAAGGACAATTTTTAAAAAATATTGATGTTTTTATTTGGGATGAAGCACCAATGGCTCCAAAATATGCCTTAGAAATTATGGATAAGTTATTAAGAGATATAATGAAATCAAATGAAGTTTTTGGTGGAAAAATTGTAATTCTAGGAGGAGATTTTCGACAAATTTTACCGATAAAAGAACGAGGTACTAGATCAGAAATAATAAATTTATCAATAAAAAATAGTCATTTATGGCAACATTTCACAAAATACACATTAACAGAAAATATGAGAGCTTTACCAGAGGAAACAGAATTTGTAGAATTTCTACTTAAAGTTGGTAATGGCGAATTAAATGATATAGATGATAACATCGAATTACCAGAACATATTATTCAACAAGGAAATATAGATATTGCTGAAGAAATGTATAGTCATTTGATACAACAGAAAAAATTTAAAGATTTGTCAATGTGTGCAATTTTAGCACCAAGAAATGTTGACGTTGATGATATTAATAAGAGGGTGGTAAATCTCTTAGACAGTAAAGGTAAAAAAATATATAAAAGTATTGATTCAACTGAAAGTTGTGATAATGGAAAATTTTCTGAAGTTTTATTACCAGAATATTTAAACACTCTCTCTCCACCTTCTTTACCACCACATGAATTACATTTAAGAATTAATTCTGTTGTAATGCTTATTAGAAATCTTAGTATTAATGAAGGATTATGTAACGGAACAAGGTTAATTGTTTTAGATTTATCACATAATGTTATTAAATGTAAAATATTAACCGGAGATAAGAGTGGAAATATTGTTTTTTTACATCGAGTAACTTTATATTGTGAAAACTTATATCCATTTACTTTTAAAAGACGACAGTTTCCTATAAAATTGGCTTTCGCAATGACCATTAATAAATCTCAAGGTCAAACATTTAATAAAATATTCATTGATTTAAGACGAGATGTTTTTAATCATGGTCAGATGTATGTTGCATTATCAAGAGTAAAATCATTTGATTCCGTAAAAATATTTTTAGGAGAAAATAGAAGTAATATATATATATAAAAAATTATGTTTATAGAGAAATTTTGGACTTTTCTTAATTTAGTTTATTTTGTTATGTTGAATTCCTTTGGGATTTCAAATGTGAAACATTACATTGAAGGGAAAGATCAGTGTAAATTTTAAAAAATACAAATATTTCTCTCTGCTAACAACACCAAAAGATATAACTTGATTATACTGAAAGAGACTAGACTCTTAATAATAATAACACAGGTCAACAAAAAAAGACTTACTTTTTTTTTATGAGATAGCGGAATGGTTTCCTATGTATTTTTGGACGCTGAACACGATCCCGACTTCCAAATTTGCCCATCACGTCAGGATTTTGAGAAAAGTGGGGGTAAAGACCCCAAAAACGCTTTTTTGAGGATTTTCAACATTTCTTTTCTCTTTAACCTGACGTGCTAGAGACTTCCACAAGGTCTTAAATTAAAGCTTGTAATGTGCACTACAAGACCAATATCCATAAAATAAAAAAAAATTAAAATTTTTTTCAAAAAATGGGGTTGAAGACACCAAAAATTTGTGTTTTTGGATTGCTTTAATAGACTTCTTGCAATCGCTTGGATTCGCTTGAAAATGGGTACTTGGGGTTTTTGGGGTCGCTGATTACGAATCCAATATTTGTTTCCAAAAATTTAAAACGGCGAAACCAAGATGGCAGATGTAAAAATTAAGAATTGCTTGGATTCGCTTGAAAATTGTTATTTCAGGGTTTTTGGGGTCGCTGATTACGAATCCGACATTTTTAATTTTTGCAAACTAATATCGGATTCGTAATCAGTGACCCCAAAAACCCCAAGTAACCATTTTCATGCGAATCCAAGCAATTGCAAAAAGTCTATTAAAGCAATCCAAAAACACAAATTTTTGGTGTCTTCAATCCCATTTTTTGAAAAAAATTTTTATTTTTTTTATTTTATGGATATTGGTCTTTTAGTGCACATTATAAGCTTTAATTTAAGACCTTGTGGAAGTCTCTAGCACGTCAGGTTAAAGAGAAAAGAAATGTTGAAAATCCTCAAAAAAGCGTTTTTGGGGTCTTTACCCCCACTTTTCTCAAAATCCTGACGTGATGGGCAAATTTGGAAGTCGGGATCGTGTTCAGCGTCCAAAAATACATAGGAAACCATTCCGCTATCTCATAAAAAAAAAGTAAGTCTTTTTTTGTTGACCTGTGTAATAATTATATAATAAATAATAATAATTTTTTAAGAATAACATTTTTTAAGAATAATTGAATTTCTTTAAAAAATTTTATTACTTTTGAAAAAAAAGAATTCTTGTGACGAATATTGATATTCTTGAAAATAGTTGAATTACTCTGAATGAGTTTATTATATTTTATAAAAATAATCAAATACCTGAAAAAATGTTTAAAATTTAAAATTATGTTGTGGTATTGGTATAAAATTTAATTTGTAGCATAGAAGTTTATAGTTAAAAAAATTTGAATGGGCGCGCGTAGCGCGCAGAGTTTGTTCTAGTATATATTATATACTTTTCAAGGGCGTTTCCCACTGTGGACTAACAACTACTGATTAATAAACATGCTTCATTCAATATGTCCAACTCTGTATGTCGTTGGGTTGTGCCTTACCTTACGATCTCAAAGAGTTATTGACGGTAATGGCAACATTTAGAACTGGGACCAAGTTAAGTGTGGTGTTCCACAGGGTGCATCACTTTCTTCTCTATTGTTTAACTTATTTATTTCTGACTAAATAAAATATAAGTTTGCAATCTGATATTGCAAACTTGTTTAAAAATATTTAATACGAGATACGACATTAAAATTGTTTAATAGTGAACACTACCCTGTAAAAAAAAAAGTATTGGGAGGTACGGGATTCCGTATTGCAAGTGCCAACCTGCCAATGCGGTATTCGCGAATTACCGCATTGGGTGTCCTGGTGAATACGGAAATCAAGGGGTCCCAATGCGGTGCCAGTTTTAAGCTTTAAAAAACGAAAATACGTGACAGGAGGAAATAATTAGTGTCAGTGCAGAAATATGCGAGTTAAAGGAATGAGAAAATACTAATAGTGAGTGTAAAAATGAAACTTTAAGAAAAAAAGGTAAGTTGAACTGTCAAATATGAGTCCAATGCGGCGTAGGCTGCTTTCAATACAGTACACAATCGGTACATAGTGCAAGTCGCCAGTAGAGGGCAGAAGCAAGCAGAGCGAATCGAGCGAACACAATGGCCCAGCTGACATATGATTTGCATTACATTACTTTCCAATTTTTTATTTTTTAACCACTTTTCTGCATGAATCTAAACAATATTTTCGATTATTGTAATTTAGAAGATGCTTACCAATTGTACGTTGGCAGATTTAGTGAAAAGTGTCTGTGTACGGAAACAAATGTGTTAGAAAATGTTTGTTTACCTATTTCACGCTATTCAAACCAGTCAAAGTTGCTTTTGCTGTGGCGCATTGAAATCAGCCTATGCCGCATTGGGCCCATATTTGACAGTTCAACTTACCTTTTTTTCTTAAAATTTCATTTTTACACTCACTATTATTATTTTCTTATTCCTTTAACTCGCATATTTCTCCACTGACACTAATTATTTCCTCCTGTCACGTATTTTCGTTTTTTTAAAGCTTAAAACTGGCACCGCATTGGGACCCCTTGATTTCCGTATTCACCACGACACCCAATGCGGTAATTCGCGAATACCGCATTGGCAGGTTGGCACTCGCAATGCGGAATCCCGTACCTCCCAATACTTTTTTTTTACAGGGTAAGGAATGGCTTGCGTCTTAACCCTGATAAGACGCAAGCGATAATCTTTTCTGTTACTAACTTTTCATTAGATTTCTAATCATCTATCCCCCCAGTGCTGGTTGAAGGAACTCCCATTTTATTTGGTAAGACAGTCAAGGATCTTGGTCTGACATTGGATCTTATTCTATCATG